AGGGCTATTAAGCCCGAGTCGAGATGGTGTCGGGGTCAGGAAGGAGATGTGGGTGTAGGAAACTGGCCTTGGATAGAGGGAAAATGGGGAATTCGGCTGGACTCATCTCTCCCTGGGTCTGCCAGGCACCCCCACTCTTACAGCCCCCGATTTTCATCACCGGATGATGTGGTGATGGTACCTGCTCCTTCCTCTGCAGACCCTGCGGGTTCCAGTGGTGAGAGCTACAGCGGGGAGGTAGTCAGAAAGGGGAGCCCCTCCCAACGCCCTACCCTCAAAGCTCACACATTCAAGCTTAGACCCAGACCCAGAAAGCCAGGCAGGTACCGCCGAAGATGCACACACAAGTGAGAGCCACTACTGACTCATTGAGGTAGGTATAATCACCCCCATTTTACACCTGGACAAACTGTGAGCCTCATAGAGGTGGTGATTTCCTCAAGGTCACCAAGCTGATAAAAGGCAGAGCCAGGGTTCGAGCCTCGGTGGGCTGGTTTCAGAGGCTCTGTATTTAACCATCAGTGTATGCCTGCCCCCTCAGTAGCCTATAGGAGATGAACAGCAGTGCTACACACACTAAGTGCTCAGTAAATGTCATCTGTCGTTAGTGTTGTCATCATCCTGGTTTTACAGATGAGACTGAGGAAGAGTGAGACCACATAAGTGACCAAGTCTCAAAGCTGGAACTAGAGTGCTGCAGCCCTGAACCCAGACCTGGGAACACCTTTACAGACACTCTGCCCTCCCCCATATGCACAAACAGTCTCTGCTTTTTAGGGGAGACAAAGCTTGGGACTCAGGTGTGTTCAGGCCTGCCCTGAGCAGAGGGGACTTGGCAGGGGGCCTGTCAACCCCCAGCCTGGAGCGTGAGGCTCAAGTCTGATGCCCTGGGGTAGCTGGCAGGTCTGTGTCCTGAGTTGGCTTTACTAGGCTGTGTTGTGTTTCCCTGGATGGTCCCTCAATCTCTGTTCTGCCAGCTCCACTTGGGAAGGCCCTGCATCTGGAGAAGAGTTTGAGGGGTCTTAGAAAAAAGGAGTGGAGTACTTTCTGATCCTGATGGAGGGAAGGAGGCAGCCAGCTGTCCAGGTCTTAGGTAGGCAGATGGAGCAGGGGAGGGCTCCAGCAGGAACCGATGACCCCGCCTTCTTCCTGCCTGCACAGACTCCCTCCCGTCTCCTGCAGAGGAGGCCTGGGAGTGGAAGCTGGATTGTAGCATCCAGTACTTTGCACTCGAGGGACCGGGATTCAAATCCCTCTCTGCCACTCTTCCACTCTGGGATCTGGAGAGTCTCTTGCCCCAGGGCATCTGTGCTTTTGATTATTGAGCAACACTTGGGGACCCTGTGTTGGCATTTGCATTGCATGCACCAAACTTAATGTTCGTTTAAAATGTGATCCCAGGTTTGCCCCTTGATGGCTGTGTGACGGTGGGTGGATCATATCCTCTCTTGCCCAAGCTTCTTGGAGCAAACACTGGTACCTAGCTCTTAGGTCATTGGGAGGACCAATGAGATGATCAGGGTAGCACTTGCCCAGATCATGCAGAAGACTCTAGACCTTTGATTTCTCCACAGAGCTTCGAGGCAGATACCTGGGCAAGAGTGAGCCACCCCCACCTGGGCCACACTTCTGGGATCTGTGGCAAGGGGAGTCGTTTCCTTAGCCACTTTCCTCATCTGTGTAAGGTGAAAGTAACAGAACCTGCCTTCAAGGGGGTGGGGGTGGGGTGATAAGAATAGAGCACAGAGTAGGTATGCAGGCCATTGGGCCCACGTTGGGGTTCCAAAGCATAAGACTTGTCAATGAACCTGAGAGGGAAGTCCAGACTTCTGGCTTCTCTGGGAAATCTGGTAAAATTGAGCCTCCTTCCCTCTTGCTCCAGAGTGATTCTGCATGCACCCAGCAAGGTTTTTCAGAGGGAGATGTGTTATTGGCCTCCGGTCCTGGGGGGAACCCAGAGGTCTGTGGGAATTTACTGAGGGCCTCCCAGGGGCGTAAACTAGAGGGTCATGCATGAGAGAACACAGGGCAAGGATTTCCTGGCCCTGAAGCATCAGGGGCAAGGAAGGGCAATACAGAGTCCCTTCCTTGGGCATCCAAGGAAGTGTGAGCCAGGCCCTGCTGCGGGTAGGGAGAGCAGTCCCATGGAGATACCTTCTGCCATCCTGATGTGGTGTGATAATAGTCATGCCATATATTGAAGAAGCCAGCAGATGGTCAGGAGAGGCTCCGAGGAGGTAGCCTTTGAGCTGAGCCCCGAAGGTTGAGCAGGGTTTGGCCAGAGGTGAGTAGGGGTGTTGAGGACATTTTAGACTGAGAGAATGGCACAGTCAGAGGCTTGGTGGCTTCAAAGGAGTAACTGGATTGTGGAGTAGTTACTGGAGTTGCTTTCTGAGGGTGGGGAGTGGTAAAGGATTTTCACATTGTGGCCTTGGGCAAGTCACTTCACCTCCTTGAGCCTCAGATCCTCAATCATAAAATGAGACTGGTTACCCCAGTGGTGTCTGCCTTTCAGTGAAGGCTGAATGTCAGTGCAGTTAAAAATGCTGAATCCTCTTCCGCCAGGAGGAGATTCTTTATTTATTTATTTATTTTTGGCTGTGTTGGGTCTTCGCTGCTGCGCACGGGCTCTCTCTAGTTGCGGCGAGCGGGGGCTACTTTTCGTTGCGGTGCGCGGGCTTCTTGTTGCAGTGGCTTCTCTTGTCGCAGAGCACAGGCTCTAGGCGTGCCGGCTTTGGTAGTTGCGGTACGCGGGCTCAGTAGTTGTGGCACACGGGCTTCGTTGCTCCACGGCATGTGGGATCTTCCCGGACCAGAGCTTGAACCCGTGTCCCCTGCTTTGGCAGGCGGATTCTTAACCACTGTGCCACCAGGGAAGCCCAGGAGGAGATTATTGAGTGAGACACGAAGCAATCATGACAGGGTTGTGTGCAAATTAAATGGCATGAAGTGAAGGTCAGGGTGCATCTAGGCCTGAGTTCAGAGACAGAGGAGTTCAGTACAAGCTAGAGACTTCACAGCTTCCTATAAGAGGTGAGATGGGAGCAGAGCCTCAAGGGACAGAGAAGAGGAATGGATTGGTAGAAAGGAAGAGAGAGGGCATCTCAGGCAGGGAAGGCCAGAGGGAGCACTGCCATGGTCGTGGGAGAGAGGCTGGGGAGAGGTGAGCCTGAAATGTTTGGTCAGGCAGGGAAGGCCAGAGGGAGCACTGCCATGGTCGTGGGAGAGAGGCTGGGGAGAGGGGAGCCTGAAATGTTTGGTAACGGGGGCTTCCCTGGTGGCGCAGTGGTTGAGAGTCCGCCTGCCGATGCAGGGGACGCGGGTTCGTGTCCCTGTCCGGGAAGATCCCACAAGCCGCGGAGCGGCTGAGCGCCTGAGCGCCTGAGCCATGGCCGCTGAGCTTGCGCGTCCAGAGCCTGTGCTCCGCAACGGGAGAGGCCACAGCAGTGAGAGGCCCGCGTACAGCAAAAAAAAAAAAAAAAAAAAGTTTGGTAAGGGAAGCTTGTCTTGTTAAACACAGCCCTGAAAGCCAGGCATTAGGGAGCCATTGCAGGTTCTATCCCTACACAGGCAAGCAGGGGGGTGGTCTTAACAATGTAGGCACTTTGAACGTGGGAAGGATTTTCTGATTGCTTTTACAGAGCGAGAAAAATAAAAGGTTGGAAGGGATTTAGGAGAAGGGAGAGTTGCTGATAAGGAGATGGTTAGAGAAACGCAACCCCATTTATTCTCATGCACACGTAGTTTAACTATGATGGATAGAGTTTGGCATTCCAGGTAACATCTGTAGCACTGCATCATGAGTTTGATCTTCTGTCCTTAGAGATATGCAAACAGCGAGTGGGTACCATTTTCAGTCATTGTGTTGCTGGCTGCCATCCACATTGTGGTGTCAGATTGTTGCTGGTCTAAACAACACTTGGATAAGCATGTCTGTTCCCCAGCTTCCTTCTGGATTGTTTCCACTGGATACCCTTTCCAAAGGGGGATTTCTGACTCTAAAGTAACACAAGTGTTTTATGGCTTAAAATATTTAAAACATACTCTTTCACAGTAATTTTCTTTAGAATTTTCAGTAGGTTATACTGTATAGTTTTTCTTGTTTTGTTTTGTTTTTAAGGAGCAAATGTACAAAAGCGTATACAATAAAAAGTCTATCCTGACCCAGTGCTCTCCTCCAGTTCTCCCTGAGGACAGTTATTAATCAGTCTCCCGTATATCCTTCCAGAAATATTCTAAATACAGATACTGTATATATCCAATTTTTAAAAACACTGATACTGTTATACTCTGTTCAGTATCTTTCTTTCAGTTTTTAAATTTGGGATTATGAAATATACCAAAGAAGCATAGAAAATCACACACACACACCCAGCAACCCCCCCACACAGGCTTAACAAATGTTTAACATTTTGTGCTGGTATCTTGTTTAGGGCTGTGCTGGAGGTAACCCTATGTCAGTGCAGCTGCATACAGAGTAATCCAGTTATTGATTATATGCATAATTTATTTGACCTGTTCCCATCCCCGCCCCCCGTTTTTTTTTTTTTTTTTTTTTTTTTTTTTGCTATCTCTAGAGATAATACCCCACTTTGTATAATGTCTGCCTGGGGAGGCATCGAGGCAAAGGGGAACGACACTCGGCTTTGGCTTGGGTTCAAGTATCTGCTCGGCCACTCTTCCTCGCTTTGTAACCTGGGGTGAATGACACCGCTCTTGATTCTCTCTACCCATCTGTAAAATGGGCAGGTTGTAGTAATGCGTCTCATAATTGCTAGAAGGAGTACAGTAGAAAACTAAAGACTTCATTGGGTTTAGTTCCCCAATCCCCCTAAGCAGGGAGCTCTCCGAGGTCTCGCCTAGAGCAATTAGAGCGCGGGACGACTGCTGCTCCAGCTTCAAACTGTTCCCCGCCCTTTTCCCGGGCCACGCTGGGGGCGGTGTGTTTAAATGTCTCTGTGACGTCAACGCGAGCCGGGCCATTCCTCCTTCCCGACAAGCGTTAGCTTATTTGCATGGGTTGCCCATTACTGGTTCGTTGGGCAATCCAGCCCCTCCCAACTTTTTAAAGCCACCGCGCAGTATAAACAAGGAGATGCGAGGCAGCCAGGCCATGATGTCATCGCGGCGCAGTAGCTTTCGGGGCTGACGTCATCTCCGGGGAGGTTGCCGGCCCAGGGCTGTTAGAGCCTTCCTAACCACTCGGACTGGCTTAAGAGCCGCTCCTGCCCCGTCGAAGGTCAGGTCCATTGCACTTGTGTCCCAGGCGCCGTCCCGAGGAGGGGTCCATGACACAGTAAGTCCGGGCTGCGACTCTCCCGGCGGGACCCACTTCTCTGGCGGGGAAACTGAGCCTCAGAAGCATGAGTGATTTGTGAGTTAGTTTGCATAGCAAGTTAGAGTTACAGCCAATTTGTCTTGCTTACCGCGGGGTCTCCCATCTTTAGGTCAGACCATGTGGCCCCGCCCCTTTCCTGTGATGGCTGCGGGCACTTTAAGTGAGGAAGTGGGGGCGAGAGGAGGTTTAAAAAAAAAACTGCCTTCCAAGATGGCGGCCCACTAATCACGTGCCGAGTCTCGGCGAATGATTGGCTCTTGGCGCCCCCGAGGGGCGGAACTCAGCAAGGGGCGGGGCCCTCGCGGGGAGCAGCCGCCTACTGTTTGCCGGAACCTCCCGGCGCGCCCCCGCGAGGCCCCCTCCCGCCCGGCGCGCGACCCCGTCGCTTCGAATGTTGTGAATCAAATGTGGGGTTTGTTACATTCCGCTGCCGCCGCGGACAGTTCTTAAAGGGCCAGTCGCCGGCAGCTGCGCAAACCCGGCCGCGTCCTGCGCCGCCTCCCGCTCCCAGAGGGCCTGGGCCGAGAGACTGACCGCGCGTGGGCCTCGCGAGGCAGACGCCCGGCGGACGGACAACAAAGAGGGCCCCGGAAGGAGCCGGACTGCCCCCGGACCGGGGGGGTGGGGAAGGGAGCACATTGTTCCTCAGGGCGGGGGCTCTTAAAGGGTCCAGGCAGCACACTCCCACCCCACCCCACCCCACCCCCGCCTCCTGCCCAGCTTGGCCGTCCTAGATCGGGAACAAAGGAGTCAACGTGTGGCCAGGCGGCCGAAGGTGAGTCGGGGCCTGAGCCCCCAGCTCCCGATTTCCGCATCCCTGGAATTCCTGCCCCCACTTCCCCTGGGACTGAGGGCTGTGATCTAGCTGGCTCTGCAGGAGTTAATTACGGGCAGTCCGGAGGGGGGACGGCGAGGCCTCTAGAATCCGGTACCCCTCCCCACCCCCAGCGCCCCCCAAGGCCAGGCCGAGTGTCCCTTCTCCAGAGGCAGAGCGCTGAGGTTGGAGAGGAAGGAGCCGCCCCCTCCCCCTGCCGCCGCCACTTCCTTTGTTGTTGCTTTTGTCTCACGCCGAGCACATGGTCCGGGATCCTCGGCTCTTAAAGTCACAGCGCTCTGGCCCCGACGCCGCAGTATGGCCTCCAGCCCCCATGTCCCTCCGAGCCCGGCACAAAGGAGTGAGAGGGGGACGAGGGAGGCCCCTCTCTGGGCGAGTATCTGTACCACGTCCTCCCCACCCACGTCCCCAGTCCCAGGGAGGGATGGCTGAGGAAGCTCCCCGAATCCCGCAATCTGCTCCTGGCCCACTTTGAGGAGGGGCCTGCTCCTCAGGGACACTGGTTTCCTCCCCCAGTAATGTGACCACCTGGTTTTTTGCGTCTTGCCTCTTGTGGCTTTATTTGGGAGCTCTGGGAAGGAGAGATTTCCACTCCCATTTTACAGTTGTGGCAACTGAGGCTCACAGAAGGGAAGATTTCCTTGACCAAGGTCACCCAGGGAGTCTGGGCTGGCCAACAACTCTTAACTCGCAGCCTGGTGGTCCTGCTCTCAGCTGCCTCCAGGCACCACAGTTGGGGAGCTCTGCTTGCCCACCAGTCAGTGATGGGCCCAACGCGCCTCTTTTTTGAGGGGTGGGAGGGGGGCTTCTCAGCCTGCCTGAGTCTGCTCCTGTTCTCAGGGCCTGACTTGGCTTATCTGCAAAACAGTCCCTGTACCTGCAAACAGCCCCCAGGCCCAAATGATATGTCAGGGTCTCCCTAGACCAGGATGGGGATAGGAAGTAGGGAGTTGGCTGCCTCCTGGGGGAGGGGGTGGATGCAAGGTGCAGTCCCTGCTTCTGGGCAAGATTGGATTTAGGAACCCTCAAGACCCTTTTACGGAGACCTCACTGAGAGCCCAGCGCAGAGGAGGTGTGGTGAAAGGCAGAGCAGTTAGGTGGTGGCCTTGTTTGACCTTGAGCAAGTTGCTGCTCCAGCTCTGGGCCTTACTTGCTTCTTTCCACAGTAGGTCTAGTCAGGATGCCTGAAAGAGAAAGCTCTCCTGATCTCCTTTAGGGCCTACAGTAGAGAATTGGCATTAGGTAATTCTTGAGGTTACTGATGGTAATGAGAGTCAGGGGTTGAGGAAATCTGGGCCTAGGGGGCCAGCCAGGACTAATTCTGTCCTTCTTTGGCTTTGTGGTCTGCAGCAAGTTACTTTCTTTCTCCTGGTCTCAGTTTCCTCAACTGTGAAGTGGGTGAGTTCCCCATGGGCCATCTCTGTCTCCAGTCAAGAACCAGGGTCCCCTCCCATGCCAGCTGGGAGGGGATATTCCCTGAGGGAGTCGTGTTCCCCAGCTGCCTCCTGCAGAGCTTAAAATAGCATCTTTAAGCTGCTTGGGGGGTGGGAGTGAAGGTCAGCCTGTTGTATTTTCTGATAGTGATCATTCACACCTAAGCTTTACAAATCACTGCAGCAGCCTTTGAGCAGTCCTGGGAGGTGATTATTGGGCTATTCCCATTTTACAGATGAATAAACTGAGGCCCAGAGAGGGGAGGCGATGTGCCCAATCCTCAGCCAAGACTGCCCAGAAGTCAGGGTATTGTGTATAAGAATGCAAGGGTCAACACTGTCATCTTTGGCACCATCAGTCACAGCTAGAGGCCTTCTGTCTGGTGGTTGGGTTTCTCGGCTCCTTGCCACTTCCTTTCTTGAGGTGTGGGTGTCCTTGAAGAGGCTGGCCAGAGCAGATTCCCATGGGCCTAGGCCTCTGTGATTCTGCACCCCTGAGCCTTGACACTGCCCGGACTTCAAGACAGCCTGGCACAAGAGGAGCAGTTGAGGCCACTGCCATGTCCCAGTGCACTCACCACTCCAACTGACTGGCCTTGGACCTCACTTCTCTGAGCCTCAGCATGCCTACTTCTGAAGGTTGCTATGAGGACTTATCAGGATGGCACATGGGAAGTATTGTAGTTCTTGTTAATACTCCTCATAGGCAGGACTGTGGGCTCCCAGGATCTCTGAGGTCAGTTAGAACAGAGGTTCTCAAGCACCTGCCTGTGCTGTAGAAACTGCTGGGGAATTTAGTAGAAATCTAGGTGCCCTTGTTCCCCAACCCTCCAAAGATTCTGATCCAAAAATCTGGGGTGGGTCAAGAGTCTGTTGTTTCAGTTATTTAGGGGTTTCCTCTGAGTCTCTCTTGGCCTTTGTTTGCTGGCTGGATTAAGGAGATATATAAGAATGCAAAACTAATGTCTCCCTATAAAATAGGCACTAAAAAAAAGAGAGAGAAACCTTTAAAAAAAAAATCTCCAAGTGGAATCAAGGAGGCTGTGTGTGTACACATGAGTGTAAGGATATGCACTTGGCTCACACTGGGGGCTCACGACCCCAGTCACCTGTGGTGGGCAGGCAAGGAATGGGCCTGGGGTGGCCTGGAGAGAAAACTCATGCCCAGAGTGAGATGGGTCAAGCAGAAATGAGGGCCCAGTGGGACCAGATTTTCTGCTTCCTTCCCCCCGCCACACACACAACACACTGAAAGGACAGATTTTTTTATGTCCCAGTTTTTAATCATTGGCACTAACTTCACTGCTGCCAGACATGGCCTTAGACCTATGTAATTGGCTCTCCAGTGTGCATTTACCACATCAGGCCTGCCCTGTGCTGGACACAAGCTGGTCACTGGGCCCTGCCCACCCCTCTGCTAAGTGCTGGAGCCCAGGTTGGGTGGGAGAAATGTGAATTTCAGCTCTACTGTGGCTGTGGCCTTGGCCCCGTGCTGTCTTATGAGGTGAAGAGCCTCCCTTTCAGGCTCATTTTGAAAGTCAGGGCCCATGCACGTAAAGCCCAGCACAGAGGAAAGGAACAAGGTGTTGAGGGGACAGTACACCGGTTCCCTAGCTGTGTTAGCAGGGAGGTGACACTTAAAGCTGGGTATGAAGGAAGCATAGGAGTTTTGTTAGATGGAGGCAGGGTTCCCTGTGGCAGGAACAGCCAAAGGCTGGTCCTGTTGGATGCGCCCTTCAGCATTGCAGGGTCTGACAGGTTCCAGAGTTTTCCCTGCCAGGGCCTCATTCCAACCTCTGGAGTTAATGAATGGTCCCCCCAACTCTTCCCCCACCTGGACCCTAGCTCCTGCCCCGCCCCATTCTCACTCAACTTCCTCCCTTAGGTTTAGGTTCTTGCTTCCTCTTTTCTCAGCAAGCCCCACCTCCCACTTGGGGGCTGTGTTGGGTCAGGTTTGCATGCACTCCCCCCACACACAAAGGGCCTGGCTGCATGCCAGACCCACCAGTTCACCAGAGGTTGACTTCCTTCATCACGTCCTGCCAGAACCCTTGGGCTGGACCCCTTCCCATCAGCATCAGTGTGCAGCAAGAGGCTGGTAGTCAGCCCACCTCTCAGCTTTGACACTTATTGTGAGGCCTTGGGCAAGTCCTTTCGTCTCTGAGCCTCAGTTTTCTCTTCTGCAAAATGAGGCTAACAGTACCTTACTTGAAGAGTAGGTGAAGTCCCATTTGGGTAGGCACTGTGGGAACAGATTATGGAAAGAAAGTATACAGTCGGCCCTCTCTATCCATGGGTTCCACATCCATGGATGTAACCAATTGCAGATTTAAAATACTTAGGGAAAAAAATTCCATAAAGTTGCAAAAAGCAAAACTTGAATTTGTCACTTAACGTAGCATTTACATCATATTTATATAGCATTTACATTGTATTAGGTATCATAAGTAATGTAGAAATGATTTAAAGTCCATGGGAGGATGTGTGTAGATTATATGCAAATATTATACCATTTTATATAAGGGACTTAAGCATCCTCAGATTTTGGTATAGTGGGGGTCCTAGAACCAATCCCTCGTGGATACTGAGGAACGACTGAACTGACTTGGCTTAGACTGGGAACCCCGAGGGCAAAAACCAAGTCAGAACCACTCACCTGTTACTTGTGGAAGGAGAATTAGGCCCCAGGCCTGTTTGCAATCCATCTTGAGCCAACCAGAGAGAAGGGAGGAAGCTGGGGTCCCCTCAGGAGCCCCAGTTACCTAGAGGTCAGAGTTGTAGATCCCCACGCCAGGACAGGTTTTCCTGGAGACCCCACCCTGAGGGAGCGTTACCAGAGCCCCCTGGCCTGGAAGCATGCCGGCCAGCCCTCTGAACTTACCCTGAGGCAGACCCTGATCTCATTTCACAGAGCAGGAAGCTAAGGCCTGGACTCCCTGCAGGCCAAGCCTGAACCCTAGTGCCAGAGCACAGCGCTGCCTGGGGAGCCCAGGGTGTGGTGGGCATCAGTGGCCTCTGGAACCAGGCTGCAGAGGTTTGATTCTATCTCCCCAACCCCTAATGGAGCAAGGGACTGGACTTCCCTGTACCTTACTTCCTTTGTCGGTTTGCTTCCTAGGGTTGTGAGCCCTGGCCCAGCCCCTCCACCCCTCTGCCTCCCCTGATGCAGCCATGGGCTCTGGCAGTGACTAGGTGGCCGCCCTCTGCCCCTGTGGGTCAGCGGCGATTCTCTGCAGGACCCAGCAGCAGCCCAGGCCAGCTCTGGGGAAGGTAGGAGGGAACCTCCCAGTCCTGTGGAGCCCGGAGCCCCTGGTACTGGAGCTTTCAGCCTGGGCTGGGGCACAGGGGCCAGGGGGTGGTAGGGCACAGGTCCCTGAGCTGCCTTCCTTCCCCAGTGGGTAGTGACCTTGGCTTCTCTCCATGCTCTGTGAATGAGCGGCCCCCGTCAGTGCTACTGGGGCTTCCTCTCTGTGGTGCAGCCCTGGCCGTGAGGGCCCCCTGGCCAGCCCACCTACCCAGGATGAGCGCTTACCCTCCCAGCAGCCGCCGACCCGACCAGCATACCTCCCCGTAGAGGAGCGCCGAGGCTCGGCTCCTGCCGGCGGGAGCCCCCGAATGCTGCACCCAGCCTCCCAGCAGAGCCCGTTCATGGTTGATCTCCACGAGCAGGTAAGCGGAACCCCCCACACCCACGCCCCGCTGCCCCTGGCCTCTGGCGAGCTGGTCTGAGGAGCAGAGGGAGCAAGCCCTGACTTCACCTTCACCAGAGCTGGCCCGGCAGGGCTTTGCTTCTCACCTGGGGGCAGCAGAGTGGCCTCCCTACAGTTCCTGGGTCTCTCCTCCTGCAGGTGCACCAGGGACCTGTCCCTCTGTCCTACACAGTCACCACAGTGACGACCCAAGGCTTCCCCTTGCCTACAGGCCAACACATCCCTGGCTGCAGCACCCAGCAGCTCCCAGCATGCTCCGTGATGTTCAGCGGGCAGCACTATCCCCTCTGCTGCCTCCCGCCCCCGGTGAGTGAGCGCCTGGGCCTCCTGCCCCGCCCCCAGCTGAAGGCCCCAGGCACAGGCCAGTGTCAGAACTGAGCTGAGCTTACAGCGCCCATCCAGGCTGTCAGTGTCTGCTCGGCTCCAGGCCACAGCCCTGTCCAGAACGGCGTATGTGCGTTCACGTCCAGTGGGAGGGCACTTCAGAGTTCAGGGACCTCCCTGCTCCCAGTGCCTGCTTTATGGTTTGGAGTGGTAACTGTGGGTCTTAAGAGCAAGACGTCCTGCCTGGGAGGCCTAGGCCAGGGATGGATGGTCCAGAGGCCTTTGATTGGGACTGCTCGCTGGGTGGAATGGCCCCTGGCCCAGCCACAAGCAGACCCAGCCCAGAGCCCAGAAGAACATTCTCCAGCCTCTGCCCCCTTTCTCAGCAGCTGATCCAGGCATGTACCATGCAGCAGCTCCCTGTGCCCTATCAGGCCTACCCCCACCTTATCTCCAGTGACCACTATATCCTGCACCCTCCACCGCCAGCCCCACACCCCCAGCCCGCTCATATGGCACCTCTTGGGCAGTTTGTGTCGCTGCAGACCCAGCACCCACGTATGGTGAGTCTGAGCGATGGGTCTGATGCTAGAGGGGATGGCAAGTGGGGCAGGGAGGTGGGGGCTTTCCTTGTCACTGACTCTGCTGACCCACCCCTGCTTCTTCCAGCCCCTGCAGCGCCTCGACAGTGATGTGGACCTGCGGGGGGATCAGCACCCCCTGGGGAGCTTCACCTACTCCACCTCTGCCCCGGGCCCAACTCTGTCCCCATCCGTGCCCCTGCACTACCTGCCCCACGATACCCTGCACCAGGAGCTGTCCTTTGGTGTGGTAAGTGCCACTCCCCACCCAGGATCTAGGGTGACTGGGAGACAGGCCCATGGCTGACATGCACCTGGCCCCCCTCTTGCAGCCATATTCCCACATGATGCCCCGGAGACTGAGCACCCAGAGATACCGCCTGCAACAGCCGCTCCCGCCACCACCCCCGCCGCCTCCGCCACCACCGTATTACCCCAGCTTCCTGCCCTACTTCCTGTAAGTACCTGCACATCTGCCCCAGAGCTGTGGCGCCCTATTCTTCTGGGGCCTCTAGTGGTTAGACCCAGACACAGCCCCGTGGGGTCCTGGGGCCTCTCGAGCCACCTAGCATCCCCGCCAAACCATACATGCACACTCACGCTCACCAGCTGGGCTCCCTGCCCTACTGTGACATCTTGGGACAGACACTGGGGTCCCTGGTGTGAACAGTGCAGAGTTCTGGGCTTTGTTTCATGGCGGGAGTCGGGAGCAGCTCTGCGCCCCTTACGCCTACTGACCTTGACCCCGGGCCCGCGTACCTATCTCCCCCTAGCTCGATGCTGCCAATGTCACCAACAGCAATGGGGCCCACCATCAGCCTGGATCTTGATGTGGATGACGTGGAGATGGAGAACTATGAGGTCCCGTGGAGCCCTGTCCTGGGAGGTGGGGGCTTGGGGGACTTCCAGCCCTGGTTGCCACTGACCCTCCCCTCCTGCACACGTCCAGGCCCTCCTGAACCTGGCAGAGCGGCTGGGAGACGCCAAGCCTCGCGGCCTCACCAAAGCAGACATCGAACAGCTTCCATCGTACCGCTTTCATCCCGACAGCCACCAGTCAGAGCAGACGCTGTGAGTGCCCTGCGCCCCCTCCTGTCTCTCTGTGAGCACAGATGGGTTGCGGTCTTCCCAGGGTACCGCTTCGTGCTCTGCCGCGAACCTGCCCTCGCCTTCAGTGTGGGGGTGACGCTCTGTGCCCTCCTCCCAGGTGTGTTGTCTGCTTCAGCGACTTCGAGGCACGACAGCTGCTCCGGGTCCTCCCCTGCAACCACGAGTTTCACACCAAGTGTGTCGACAAGTGGTTGAAGGTAACGTAGCCACGCCCGCTCCCAGGTGTTCCTGGTGTAGTGAGGGAGGAGGGTGGACTGGAGGGCTTCCCTTCGTGTCCTCTTCAGCATCCAGAAGTTCCGGCTCCACTCAGGGAGCCAGGTCCCCACCAGGCAGCGGAACAGCCCCGGATGGGATGGGGGTCCGGTGAGAGTGGAGCCTGATGTGCGGCTGCTCCCCCCAGGCCAACCGGACGTGTCCCATTTGTCGGGCTGACGCTTCCGAGGTGCCCAGGGAGGCTGAGTGAGGTCCACAGCCATCCAGGAGAACCCTGCCCAAAGCTCTGGAAACTCCGGGGGCCCCGGAAGGCCGGGGAGGGCGTGGCCCAGGCCTGCCCTGCCATTCCTGCCTGCATCTCCAGAGCTGGTGCCAGGGTCAGCCCGAGAGAAGCCCCTGCAATAAGCCCTTGCATTTGCCAAGCTCCAAAGACTCCCTCCCCGTTTGCCCACCAGTCTAAAAGACACCCGCCAGGGAGCGGCCTGAGAGTCCCTAACTCAGTCTCTCCTGTTTGCCCTCGCGTCTGTCTCCTTTTCTTGCCGGCCCTGGGAGCCAGGGGTTCATTCCCCTCGTGTGGCTGGTGGAGATCCTTGGCCCTGGGATGGGCAAAGGGGGTGCTGTCCTCGGTCACCTGGTCTCTTGCACTGAAGTGGTGTGCTCTCTGCTCAGGTGGCACTGACAGGCGTGGACAGGCAGTGGCAGGAGGCCAGTGGGTTCTCCTGCTGACCCCAGACAGACTCAGGCAGCCAGCCCCACCCAGGTTGCTGTGGGGTGGGGCTGGCTCCCTAGAGGACCCTCACCTCGGGTACAACATTCCTGCCCCAAGCCCAGGCTGGAGGGCATCAGAGCCAACCTCCTGAGCAGGTGGAAGGCAGGGACGGCATGTGTCCTGAGGGGGCCTGGACCAGGCCAGGGAGAGTGATTTCCTGTGTTGCTGGTGGCTGCCCCTGCCTGGTGGTGACAGGGCCCAGACCCATGCCCCATCTCCCCTCTCTGTCGTTTTGCATGAACGTGAGGAGCAGCAGTTTTTGTTTATTCATTTGGCCCGAAATCACGTGTAGGATTTGAGGGTGTGGATTTTTTAAACAATTTCTTTTCTTTTGGTTTAATGCGCGGGGGGGCGGGGGTGTATAGGGACCAACCAGGACCAAGTGTCCAGGGGCAGGGAATGGTCTGGTGGTGCCGCCTGGTCTGCATGCATGTGCGCGGCTGGGGTGGGGCCAGGCGGCTGGCGGTCATGGGTGGGGTTGGGGGGGCGGGGGGGGGTCTGTGCTCAGCTGATAACTGCCATGCACTGTACTGCACACGTCCCCAGAGCCTACTGGGACCCTACGCTTTTCAGGGCATTTCTCCCTCTAGCCAGGGCCTGTCTCCCACCTGCCTGGGCGTGTCTCCTCCAGGGAAGTCCCAGGGGTACAGGGTCCAAGGAGGATGTGGACCCCGCCTCCAGGGGCCCCTCCCAGCCTGAGCCCTGCCCTCCAAGACTTGGAGGAGCCCCCGGAGGGTCTGGCCGAGCTCCCTACCCTCACCCACCCGGGTCCCATTCTGTTTCTTCCTCACCCCCCGCTGGGGTTGCTGCCCCGAACGAACCGCGTGTGGGGCCGGCACATCCTAGCAGGCAGCCCCTGGCGCCTGCTGCCTCAGGGATGCTCCAACCACCCTCGTTCTCCCGCAGCGGCCCTGGCCCCCCCACCTCCCCCCAGCCTGCCGTGGGGCCCCATCAGCCTGGCCCCCACCCCATGGAGAACCCAGAGTCTTACTGTATATAACTCCAGGTGACATTTCTATATTTATAGCAGTGTTGAAACCCCACCTGTTTTACACAGAGAACTACCCTCTCCGACCCCCTCCCTTCCCCACCCCCCAAAAAAAAGGTTTTCGAAACCCTTAACGGTTCCTGGGGCAGGTGGAAACAGGCTCACGGATGGTGTGTTGACTGCAGCAGTGATTCCAACGAGCAGCTATTGGGGGGGAAACACAACATTTAAAAAAAAAAAAAGTTAAAAAAAAAAGATTTATAAAACAATTATTTAGGATGTTTGTGATTTGCCGACCTTGCTATAGATGCCATGTTACCAATGATTTCCTGTGGTGGGGGCTTGTCATTGTTTACTCTTTTATTTACCAACTTCTGGCCTAGGCATGACAGTGGGTGCTGTCCCCCAGCCCTGGCTGGGCCCAGTGCCTGTGTTCTGTGTTAGAAAGGTCTTTTGTGTATATATATGTATATATGTATATATATATATATGTGTGTGTGTGTGTGTGTGTGTGTGTGTGTGTGTGTGTGTGTGTGTGTATATATATAATTACATATATATATATAAATATATGTAATTTGGGGAGCCCTGTTCCTTGCACATTTTACAGTTACCTCATTTTTCCCATGTATGTATTTGAGAAAATGCTAATATATAGAGAAAAAAATGGTTCTTAAAGCTTAAGTGTGTGGTTTTCTCCATTCCATTGGATTCACATTGGTTTGTAGCATTTAACATAACTAGTATGTTGTATTATATATGTGTATACTGATTGAAATTTTTAACAGATTTGTACTTTTTTTAAAATGAAACTTGCTAGTTCTGCTTGACCAAGTAGTGCAATCATTATTTTTTTTAATATTGTTGCTGATTTCAGAGGGATATTCACTAATAATAAATGTATGATGTATATCGAGTACTGCCCAAGCTGCCTTTGGCCGCCTGTGTTCTCGTCCTTTTGATGGGAAGCGCGCGTGGGGGTGTCGGTCTGAGGGTGGGTAGGGGACAGGGATGAGGGGGGCAGAAAAGATTGTTCTTCGCTGTGGAATCTTGGGGGAAATGATACCTCCTGATGGAGAGGCATCTACGGGGCCAGTTCAGTGACAACTTGCTCCACACTGCTTCACGGGCAAATTAGGATTCTGTTGGCAACCGACAGGATTCCGTCTAACTGGTTTGAGGGAAACGGCACTTAACTAGTCTGTCATTTAAATTCTGGAGGGAGGTTCTGCTTCAGCCTGATCAGATGGGGCTCAGGTGTGTCCTAAGGAGCCAGGTCTCTCTTCATCTTACAACTTTGTTCTGCCTGGTGCTTCCTGGTACCTTTAGCTCAGTTTCTTCTAATTTAGCATCATCTCCACGCAAAAACTGTTTCCCCCCCCCCCAGTAATTCTAATAATTCCTGGTCTGGAGTCTTGTTAGACCAACAGGTTGCACACCCATCCCTGAATCGTGTGCTACCGTTAGGGAGCTAGAACAGCATGACTGGCCCAGCCTGCATTACATACCCACCCACCCGTGGACCCCACTGAACCTACAAGGATTTGAGCCCCTGATCCTCAAGCTCAGTGGGGATGAAGGGCCCGAGAGCCACTAAAGGGGCCAGACTGGTGATGTGGGTACGTTCCTCTTCTCCGTGGTGGCGTGTGGTATGGCAGGGCTGCCCGCTGACTTGGTAGTATGTGAAAGCAGCATGGTCAGGGGCAGGAGACCTGTTGTGCCTGTCTGTGATGCCACTATCTGTGACCTTGGTCAGGGGACTTCTCTTTCAACCTTTGGATCATCGGCAAATTAAGGGTCAGACTCAGTTGAGTGGTTCCCTAAGTGTGTTTCAGAGAAAGTCCTGTGGAACATAATGGTGTTTGTGCAAAAAAGGACTCTGGTAAGATAGTTTGGGAAATTCCATGTTGAGAGTAACAGCCTATATCGCAGGGCTGTCCCTTTTCTGAGCCTTGGCTGTGCTGATGTGTGTTGTAAATCTCTAGCAGTGGATACATACTCTGGGCAGCATTTCCTACATTGGGCTTCTTTGGCCACATGCCAGGCCAAGTTGCATTCTCTGGAGCACACTGAGGCATGGTGCACTAGACCAGTGGTGGGAGCTGAGTTCCCAGTCTGAGCAAATTGTCAGATGGGGAAGTCTCTGAGCTTTTTTTCAGTATTTCAAAAAGCCTGTAGGAAAGGAAAATCACAGATTGTATCAATGGATGCCAAAAAAATTTTTTGGCCAAAATTCAACATTCATTCATGATAAAACTTGACAAGATCATCTATACAAAAACCTACAGCTAACATCATCCTTAATGATGTGAAAGACTAGGTGCTTACCAGCCCTGAGATCAGGACAGGCAAGGATATCTGCTTTCACCAGTTCTATTCAACATCATACTGGAAGTCCTAGCCAGCACAACAAGGCAAGAAAAAGGAAATGAAATTAGAAATGCAGATTAAAATGGAAGAAATCAAATTAACTCTATTGTAGATGATATGATGAAGATCTATGTAGAAAATTCCAAGGAATCTACAAATAACTAGAACTAAATGAGTTCGTCAGGTCATAGGATATAAGATCAATATACAAAAATTAATTGTATAATTTCTACATACTAGCAATGAACACATGGAAGTGGAAATTAAAAACCTGATACTATTTACAATCACTTGAAAGACAAAAGAAACATGTAAATCTAACAAAACATAAGACTTGTATGTTGAAAACTACAAAACACTGATGAAACAAGGCAAAGACCTACACAGAGAAACATGTCATGTTCTTGGATTGGAAGACTCAGCATAGTAAATTGTCATTTCTTCCCAAAGTAATCTCTAGGTTTAATGCAATTCCTATTAAAATCCAGCAAAGTTTTGTGGGGTTTTTTTGACATATTGCCATGCTTATTTTAAAATTTACATGAAAAGGCAAAAGAAACCAGAGTAGCTAAGACAATTTTTAGAAACAAGAATAAAGTGAGAAGAATCACTGCCTGATTGCAATATTTCACTGAAGAGATGCATTAAGACAGTTTATCAGGAGAGGGATAGACAAATAGATCAATGGAACAGAATAAAGAACCCAGATATAGACCCACACAAGTACAACCAACTGATTTTGGAACATTCAATGAAGAATAGTTTTTTCAACAAATATTACTGGAGTAATTGGGTAACCATAAGCAAAAAGAAAAAAATCATAAATTTAAAGGTGGAACATGAAACTAGAAGACGTTTAGAAGAAAACAAATGAAAATCTTCACTGGGACCTAGGGCTAGGTGAAGAATTCTTAGGTACGATACCAAAAACTCCATAATGCTCAACATCACTGATCATTAGAGAAATGCAAATCAAAACTACAATGAGGTATTACCTCACACCAGTCAGAATGGCCGTCATCAAAAAATCTACAAACAATAAATGCTGGAGCGGGTGTGGAGAAAAGGGAACCCTCTTGCACTGTCGGTGGGAATGTAAATTGATACAGCCACTATGAAGAACAGTATGGAAGTTCCTTAAAAAACTAAAAATAGAACTACCATACAACCTAGCAATCCCACCA